CAATATGCGTTTTTGCAATTTGCATATAGGCAAAAACGCATAAAAACCGATAATCATGCACCTGGAGGCCCATGTGGTCTCATAATGCAACACCTTCATCCCAACCGACTCCCTTTCTCCTGCATGCCGGAAGAGGCCAAAGCATGGCCAATATGAGCCCAGGTGTTAGACTACAGTGCAGGTGTTAGACTACAGACCATTCTTGCTATTAGTGATCTGCGAGTTTAGTGCAAAAACGTATGATCGCACCGGCAAATCTGGTGCGTTCCGGCCTGGGTTTTATTTTCATGAGAATGCAGTAGCAAGGCGCAGTACGAACCACCCGTTCATCTAGTTAGGCAGCACATTCTAATGCCTTCGGCGGTCCGGATTAAAACCGGATCGGGCCTGCCGGTTGGCCACCTGTGCACCATAAGATAGCACCACATGCCACTGCGCCATATGCATCAGCAGCGAGTGATGCTCAAAAATGGTGTAAGTACTAGTGAACTGGAAACGTCAGGAGTGAAGGCGTTCCCTTCTTTCGTCATAATTCGGTTATGAACAACTTGTTTGAGTCTCCAAAAAGAGAAGTTGCGCAGTACAGTACCAGAGCAGCATATGACGACACGTGAAAAGCAACGGGATTGCTGTTTTATTCGCGATTATTAACCTGTTTTTGTTGCCATCATCGTTTTCATCATCGTTACCGTTATTACTGTTACCGTCACCGTCAATACCACCACCGTTGCTGTCATGGTTGCCAAAAATATCCTGGATGATTAATAACGCCAATTGCTGTCCGTAGTTTTTCATCACGTTGTTTCGATCGATCGATGCTTACTTCCGCTAACGGATCCTTTTGCGCCTGGGAAAAGCTGCATTTTCGATATCATTTCGCTGTTTTGTACTTGTCTGTTAGCTGTGTCTGTAGCAATCCGGGCAGGACAGTTGGGGGGAGCGGAGGGTACTTTTCCTGAGCAGGAGACATGGGGTACATACGCGGTGTCAGGAAAGGGGACGTGCGCTCCGTATCAGAGGGGGAAGACGTGCACCCCGGCGAGGAGTAGTATCAGTGGCTGTAAAGAGTTTGGCACGCGCATTAATTTGGATTCGAGTTGCTGAGCAAGTTTCCATTGTATCGATAAAATGCGTAACTTTCGGGAGACCTCAGACTTATCCCCTCCATCTCTGGGCTGCCGTTCGCACAGATTAATTCATCCATCCACACCTTCTCTTCTTCGACTGTTCGTTTGCTTAAATATTGCATTTTTTTAAAGCGATTTATACGTTTTGCATAACATACAAATGCTAAAACGCATATTGTCGAAAAGTTGTTCCCATATCTGTGTGTGTGTGTGTTCGGAAGCGAGTGAACTTCGTTACTTACTTTTAACTTCACAATCAGGAAAGCTGAAAGGCTGAAATCTTGGGAGCATATTTGTATCGCGTATGTAATCTTTCCGTTTTAAAGTCGTTGCTCATATGCGTTTGGATCTCGCGTATGCACTCCAGAAAAAAATATGTAAATTTCTTTGACGGGAAGCGATTTCGGAAACCAGACAAGATAGAAGGCTGAAACTTCGCAGGGGCATTCTCTGTGCGTGTATGAGCTAAAGATTTCAAATTCAGCTGTCACTTGCATCGCGCTTACGGCCACTTCAAAGACCGCTGCGCCAAATAAAATAGCAGAAAATAACAGCTGCAATTTTGCCAGAATGTTTACCGTCAACCTGAGAAACTTTATACCTCAATAGAGTTTCGAACTGCGCCGGCGTCGCGCCTTAGGGCGCGTCAAAGATATTTGTAGCGAAGAAGCGATTTTACTTGCCGGGCAAAATACGAAATGAAACTTTGCGAGTGGTCTAATACAGTTTAGAGGCGAAATTCTTTGCGCACCAAAAAGATAAATACTCAGTTTTATCGTAAACTCAAAAGCGAGTGCAGTGGTGCAAACTCAAAAGCATTTTCCTTTTCTGACATCTTGTATTTACCCAAATTTACACTTTTTCGATGAGTAACGGCTCACCAGAAAAACAAACCGAGCCTTCTATAAATTTATAGTCATGCAGGATGATTATTACCAGCTTTGGTCAAGGCTTTATCTTCCCTGGTAAACCCTATAGCGGCTTGACTGAACGTAAAGAATTTCTGCTCAAAATTCAGTCAAGGGTGTATTCTGGGCACTTTTTTTCGCAATCTCTCTCGTTTTTGAGTGCGCTGCTGATTCTTGTTCACAGTTTTGTACAACCACTGAAAAAGAAATACAAAAAACAAACGTTTGTGAGGAAGTAAAGTATAAGTGCTTACAATACGAAGGCAAACAAAGACAGGATTTATGGCACTTAGCCTCACTAATCTTCTGAGGCCGTTTGAACAGTTGCTTAATGATTTAAGTAGTTTCAATGAGCTTTATCCCCTTCCATTTGTTTCGTTCTTTCTCCTCACTATCCCCCTCACTTTCTCTTTATCCCTAGCCATTACTATCGGTTTTTAAAGGAATTTATTCTGCAGCATAAAATATTGTTTCAATCAGGAGCAATACGCAGTTTATTTTGGCAATTTTGGGGCCAGTTTTTCAGACTGTGCTGGGCATTTCAAGAGGACACTATCAGGCAGATCGAACAGTGGCACATTCCGCGGCAATTTCGGTTGGATATTACCGCTTTTCAAGGAAAAAATTTAGCAGAGTGTTGCGACAGATCCACGACACTCTCAGCAAGTTCAGACTGGGAGGAGCCCAGAGGGCGAAGGCGGGGAAAGGAGCCAGGGTAGGGCGCATGCATAAGTTTCTGTGAAGGTGACAACTTCCAGTGAATCTGCAACTGTTTTGGGGGTCATCGCTCCAGGGCCTTTGAAGTTGTTGAGTCGAGTTTCATAAGCTTCGACAACAAATTTCCAAGTCAGTGATAAATGGAGAGATAGTTTCGTATTTTCTTCAGAAATGTTTTTTAAAAATTCAGGATTAGAGAAAAAAAATTTAGAATCTGTATTCCCGGAATTTACAGAACGGAACTGTAGCTTCATATCATTTTTAATATTGCAGCAACTTTTTGATTTCTTTGCTAAATTTTTTAGAATTCTTCAGCAAGATTTTATGCCGCCAACAAAAAATGACTGCTCTGTTTTTCTGCGCATTTAGAGTTTCGAAAGTGAACAGTTTGTCCACCGAGAGCAGCGGGCCGTTCCGATGATTACACTGATAATTATTGCGGCCGCAGTGCTTTTGCTTATCGTCATCGTTGTTTCTGGGTAAATTTCTTTTTCGTTAATGGCAAATTTAAAGCTGGTTTCTTCAACTTGCTTCTCCAGCACTTCTTGGAGGAGGGAGCCATCGATGGTCAAGTTATCATTTTAACTGCCAAAATTCGATTGTGTTCCTCTCCACGCTGGGCCAACAGCGCAAACAAACTGCGTGTGTTAACACATAGAAGACTTCAGGCCCCCGTCCTCTTCCAGCCTCGTAGCCAGAGATATTCGTTATTTGCATATTGAAACACTTATCAAGCAAGGGCTGAAGATAGTCTTTTCTGTGCACGCACGAAGTAAATCTCCTCCGTATTCGCTATTTGTGGGAAACGGAAGCTTTTGCTCTTCGTCTAGCCCGAGCAGTAGCAAATTCCAATAGCCGCTATCCGCTGGTAAAACTACCGATGACTTTCCTTTCATGGATTATAACTGATGCTGAGTCTGATTCTCCGACATATACGACGACAACTTGGGTCTCTTACAAATAAACTCCTTAAGATTATTTGGCCAAAGAACTGACCGTTAAGTAACACGCCAAAAATGCCTCATTGACGATTTGTTTGTCGAAAATGATCGTTATTTTTCACTGCAATGCAAATTTTAAGACATTTGCTTCTCCCTGTGCAGCTTCAGCTTCCAAAGTTGTATATTTCGTACGCTTTTCTGTCCAGGGACTCCATGGTGACAGTTTCGAGTTTTCCAGTCTTTCATGCATTTTTTCAAACATTAGCTTATGTTAAAAACACATATCGCTGGGATTCATTGTGTATGTGTCTGTATGTGTGTGTGTGTGTCTTCGGGTAGTGTTTGTGTGTGTGTGTGTGTGTGTGTGCGTGTGTGTGTGTGTGTTCCTAGCCTATAGCACCTTGAACATTTGCCACGAAATCTGCGATGAAAGCTATGAGGATTGTTGAGTATACAGTTTGTGAAACGAAGGTGTAAGAGGGAATTCGAGAGGATTGGCGGAGGGTTGAGTAACGAGCTGGGAACAACGGAAAAAAATTCTTGAAAAAATCGAGGTAAGAATTGGATGCTAAACATAAGCTCGCGTGGGATATTTGGATTGTGCCGGTGTTTACTGCTTATGCTTACGGTTGTTATTTTGCAGGTACGAGATCTATTCCAGGTATTATCGCCCCAGGCAATATTGCCATGGCGTCGGAATTTGCACCGTGCAATCACCGCCGCCGCCATGAATTCAGTGAAATACACGCCGAAAATAAGAGGTCAAATTTTTTTCATCCAGTTTTTGATCACTTTCTTTTAGCCTGCAACAGCGTTTGCTCAAAAAACGCGCATTTTTCTTTGCTACCTCAAATTTCCGCATATTTTCAGGTCAGTGAGAGCAGCTCAGGTTTCGCGGCTTTCAGAATGAAAACGCAATAAGTTTGGATAGTGTTTGTTTTTGATACTTTTATATTACAGATGTGTAATGGTTTTTACCTTTTCATTTCTTTTTCTCCTGTTTTGTAGAACACCAGAAATCTCTTCCACCTTTGCAGGAAAAAACCGTTTTCTTTTTCGTAAATCGGATTGGTGTTAAATTACTTTTTTTAAAAACATTTTTCGGCTGATCTTACTAGCCGGTTCCAAAATCAACAAAGGTGCCCAACTCTGTAAAGGTGCCTTACTGTCCTAGAAGGAAGTGAAGTGAAAAATATCTACTGTCCATATTTTTTGAAGGTCGAAATTCCATTAAAATTAGCATGCATTTCGAAGATATTGCTCAAAATTTTTTTATTCCGACGTTCAGGTATGGGGAGCCCTGAATAAACTTACTTCTTTCATCTGTATGTTTTGTTTTTGTGCGTTGCAGGCATTATGCGAATTAAATTAGTTTTCTGGAAGTTCCACGATTTCCCCGCACCCACAAGTTAATTTGCTTACCATTGATCCTAATTAATTTTGCAAACCTTTCAAATTTTTCTTACACAGTGATAATGTTTAATACATACCAGCTCTCTTTCGTTTGGTCACAAACAGATGTTTTTGTTCATGAATTACGTTTATTATAAAGATTGGTTTTGGAAGACTTTAATGAGCTGATAATGAGTGTGGGAGCCAGTCAAATGCAGAAATGGCCAATGACCGCCCCTCACTCGCGCAGCTACGTAAATTAGCGAATGGTCTTCCAGCCCTTTTGTCTCGTTTTGGAAACGTAAATTTCCGCGCGGCCTATTATCGAAGTATTCTTCCTGGTTAATGAAATTGTTTGAATTTTGGAAAAGTGTCTGAAATCCTTCATTTATTTATAGAATGTTTTCTCGCTGCATATAAATGTGTGCGGTTTTACACTGTACGAGCAGGCTTCATTAACGGGGGGAGGGGGGTCCAAATCCAATCCGAAGTGCAGTACCTCACAGCTTGCTTCAAATTTACCAGCGTTATTGAAGAACCATGAATTTTTACTCTCCCTAGCATCGACAAGTCCACAAGCTCTTCGTAGTGGCTGGATAGATTTTCAGATTTTTAGACCACTTTTTCAAATTTGCCTTCCAAGAGCGATTGCTACGAAGTCGTATCGCTAAGGGGCAAATGTGCAGCGTGCATAAATGATAGTGCGATAA